GTCACTATCTTCTCCCCAGGACACAGGGACTCCAGTAGCCCCTGAGCAGGCTGTAGTGAACCTCTGGCCCACACTCCTGCCACATTGTTCCAAGTCTGGCTTTAAGACAGTTTGTCTGCTGAGGCAAAAAAATCAAAGAAAAGCCTTTTCAGAGAACATAGGCCAGAAGTCCCCTTCAGTTGTATTTACCGCGCTCTGGCCTACTTCCAACCACGAGTCTTCTTTGAATGTTAACTGCATGTTCTGCACAAGCCAAAGGTGGATGCCGAAAGCTGTCCTTTTGTTCAACTGCAAATCTCTAGTTTTGGGTAGGAAAAAAAAAAAAAGAACGGTGCCCCTGGGCACCGACTTCTTGTTCATCTAGACTGTGTCCTTACTCAGCACCGCAGGCATGTCCCTTTAATTTGTCTTTAATTCCCAGTGCTGGTTGGAAAATGAAGTCTTTGCTTGTGAGGCCCATAGCTGGGACCTTTCCACCAGTAAGTTTAGTGCCACCAGCGTAAGGGACAACCCTGTGAGGACGTCTTTGAATGCACCCAGACATCAATTCAGCTGGGTCCAGGGACAAATGCTGCCTGAGGAGATGTGTGCATTTCATAAATCTTCCCACGAGTGATGGCGAGACAGCTAGAGGACAACAGGGACGGGGCAAAGGACGGTGTTCAGGGGTGAAATGGACAGAGATGGCATGTGAGGAATGGCTTTTCATAGATGAGCTATATTCGGGGAGTGGGTGGACCTTGTGAAAGCCTCGATTTCCTTCCAGGGCCCTCAAACCTCCCACCCGACAGGTTCAATGTTTAGAGCATGGCTGTCCATGGGAACAGTGGGAAGGGAGCTAGCTCTGTGTCCCTTGCAGGGGCTATGTTTAGTAAGAGCCAGCTAAGGTCATCATTGGCCACAGAGGAGCAAGCGGAGGTTGACAGAGGACGTAAGGCTGTTGAGGCCTGTAGGTATGTTCTATGGCTGGGTTCCTCTCTTTCTCGGCTGTGTCTTGCTATAGTTTTATGTAGCACCAGGGGACCTTTACTTCAACACTGCATTCCATCATTCCATTGGATCATGGTTCTGTTGAATCTTTACAGCACCATGCCAGACTTTTTTTTTTTTGTGTGTGTGTGTGTGTGAAGCTGTGAAGAGACCCGAAGTATTGATGCTTGCAAAACACACTTTGGTAAGATAACAGCCGGTCCTGGCACTGGTTGTTTGACTGACTCTCTCTACTGATATCCAGGGGAGACGTGGGAGGGGGTTGGCTTGGCTACCCCCTCAGTGGTAACACCGGGGCTTCCAGAGGCTAGCTGAGAAAATGACTGATAGGATAGTGATCAACACACATGGATAGCAAGAAGGCATTGGGGCAGGAAAGTCGAAAAGCTGGTGGCTACCTCCAGGCTTGTGACAGCCAGAGGCCAGAAAAGCGTCGGGAATGACAGCCAGACTGCAGGGCCTGACAGCACAGAGACTGGTTCCCAGACCCAGGAATTTAAAAGGAAGTGCAAGGGTGAAGACAAGAAGAGAGAGGCAGAGGGTAGCGCATGGGTTCCAAGGTGCAGGCAATGTTTCTGACACAGGACAGACACGGCAGGATCCCTGGTTTTCAATGCCTGGCCCCACATCATGGGTGTTCTACCTAAGCTGCAGCCTTTCTCTTTCAGTGTGCATCTTTTTATTTTCTTTAAATGTGTGGATACCCAAATGTGAGTGCTTTCACGTGTGTGTACTTGCACGTGTGCATATGCATGAAGTGGCCAGAATTGGATGTCAGGTGCCTCCTTCAATTACTCTCCACATGATCTATGGAGGAGAGGTCACCCTCTGAACCCAGAACAGTCTGGTTAGCCTGATGTCTTTGGGGATTGCTGCTCTCTGTCTCTTAATGTTGGGATTAACTATGGTCCACCATGCTCACCTGGAATTTTCGTAGGTGCTGGCGACCTGAACTCTGGTCCTCACATTTCTGTGGCAAGTACTTTGCCCACCAAACCTATTTCCCATCCCTGTAGCACGGGCTTTTCAGAGATGGATTATGGAACCATTACAGCTGCAATGATGTTCTGGGACCCCTTTCTACATGCCCTAACCTGGCAGAGAAGGGGTAAGGTGTTGAGAATGCAAAACTATCATAAAGTCACAGGTTTTAATATGAGTGGCAGGTAAAAGGTGATGTCACACTTCACATTTGGAATTAATTGTTCAGAAGCAGAAGCAGTGAACAGGGTAGTGAGAGGGCAGAGAAGGGCATGTGAGAAACAGAAACAGTAAACTCTGGGCTGGTGCTGAGCAGGCCAGGGTGGAGTGCAGAGCAGAGATCTCAGAGGCAGTGTGAAGTGGACACGGGGTGAAAAGCACCTCATAGCACTGTCCTGTGTTCAGAAAACACTGCACCACAGACTTCCCAGGCACAAAGAAAAAAAAAGACAAGATTTTTGCTACTACAACTGCGGTAGAAACAGAATGAGCCCCAATTTTACTCACCATGTTCCTTTGGATAAGCAGAGAGATCATTTTACATTTGGATATCATTAAGGTTTGCCAACTACAAGCAAAATTTAAGCCTTTTCTACTGCTATAAAAATAATACTTTATCTAACTACCAATTTGTCTTTTTGAATAAATCTGTCTATACAAGCAATTTGGTTAGCATCTCCTTTCAAAACAGAACCAGTGAGCCTTGGACGATATACCAGGAAGAATTGGCGCTGCTGGAAGCCTCTGCCACCTGACGCCCAGAAAGATTCGCAGTTGTTCATCTGTTTCGCTAATTGGCCACTTGATGACTCAGCCGGGGTTTAGTGCCATTACTCAGTATCTAGGAGGGTGTCTCTCAGCAAGCGCATGGCCGGGCCAAGCTCCTGTCCTCACAGGGCAGAAGTATCGAGGTTGTGCTAATGGTGCCACTGGCTGGTAGATCCACAGAGGCTGCCTCAGGAAAGGCAGCATCTTCTGGGGCTCAGGCCTCCCTGTTTTTCTTGGTTATAGTGCCACCAGGACACAGAGAAGGGACTTACATAAAATTGCAGAACAGCACAGCGCTCTGAAGTCTGCCAACACGGTCTGTAATACATTTTTGCCTTTGGTGAATCCATCTCATCCACACCCTGGAGAGCTGTACCCTAACCACAGACAAAGCTCCCCTCATCACCATGTGCTGCATGGCTTAGGGATGTCACTGTCTCGTGAAAGAAGTGATCTCTTGTGAATGGCAGGCCTATGGGCACAAGTGTCTATGTGTTCAGGATACTTTGTTTTGCTCTGCCAAGTCCCCGGCCTCAAGGGATGGGTGTTCGCATTGGAGCGATGTTTCAAAGCACAGCCAAAAGTAACCCACACGTTTCCTGCCAATCACGTTGCGGCTCTGTTCACAGAAGCCAACACAGGAAGTCAACCTGATGTGTGTCAGTGAGTGTGTGGCGGGGGAAGGGGTGCATACACAGCACGAGATGCTGTTGAAGCCTCGAGGGAGAGATGGATAGATGGATCCCTGCCATTTACAACAGGCACAGACCATCATACCCAGTGCAACAAACTAGACTCAGAAAGACAAACTCCACACAGTCTCCTTCTTCACATGAAAGCTCAAGAGCTGGGATTCACAGAAGCAGAGCATAAAGGATGGCTACCAGGGGCCGGGGTGGGAGCTGGGGGTGATTCCAGTGACACAGGAAGAGTTCATCCAAGAGTTCTAGTGTCCAGGATGGTGACTACAGTTAGCTTTGTATTATATACTTTGGAATTACAAGGGAATCAAGAGGAATTTGAGGAGTGAACATGATCAAACCATTATGCACATGTATGAAAATGTCCTAATGAGACCCATTATTACATATAATTAACATATGCTCATACAAACTTTAAAAATGAAGGTAGGTTAAACCAGCCCTGGTGGGACACACTTATAATCCCAAGCAGGCTGAGGCAGGAGGATTTTTGAGAGTTCAAGGACAGCTTGGTTTACATACTGAGTTCAAGGCCAGTATTACACTGTGAGGTTTTGTCTTTAAAAACAACCAAAACAGGAGCCTACCGCAGAGGGCCTCTGACTCTACCTAGCAGCATATCAAAGCAGATGCTGAGACTCATAACCAAACCTTTGGTAGAGTGCAGGGAATCATATGATAAAAGGGGAAGTTAATATGACCTGGAGAGGACAGGAGCTCCACAAGGATCAAATATATCTGGGCACAGGGGTCCTCTATGAGACTCTTTCTCCAGCCAAGGACCGTGTATAGCTATAACCTAGAACCCCTCTTCGGATGTAGCCCATGGTAGCTCAGTATCCAAGTGGGTACCCTAGTAAGGTGAACAGGAACTATTTCTGACATGAACTCAATGACTGGCTCCTTTACTTCCCCCCAAGGGAGGCGCAGCCTTGCTAGGCCACAGAGGAGGACTTTGCAGCCAGTCCTGAAGATACCTGATAAGCTAGGGTCAGATGGAAGGGAAGGAGGACCTCACCTAGCAGTGGACTTGGAAAGGGACAGGGAGGAGATGAGGGAGGGTGGGATTAGGAGGGAATGAGGGAGGGGGCTACAGCTGGGATACAAAGTAAATAACCTGTGATTAATATTAAAAAATAAAAAATAATCTAAAAAAAAAAACAACCAAAATTTTAGCAGGGTAAGTATTAGTTATAATAACGTCTAATTCCAAACAAACAAGAAAAATAAATCTGTAAAGTTTCCATACCGGTGACTGACACCGAAAATCATCATGCTTGGAGCATGTGTACCAAATGATAACACTGCACAAATGAAGATAAGCAATATGATGTCTCAGCAAAAACAATTCTCAGAACAGTGGGCTTGGGGAGTCCTAGCCACACCACAGAGGTACGTAAAGCAAGCACGCTGGCCTGTTTTGGAATCCTAAAAAGCATGTATGCCTTCAAACTTCACTTTGTATGCTATGCATTTTCACAATCCCCTTTTCCCCCTCAATTACAAACGACAGTGATGGATACGACTTTCCGTACAAGGACACAGTCGCCTGAGCCTTACCTGGAGGTAGTGGCACGGGCGCAGGGAAGGCTTGGTCTCTGGGTGGACCAGGGGCTTGTCCAGGTTCAGGGAGCTCTTGCGGTAGGCCTCCTTGGCCTGGCTCACCGTGAGCGTGGACCAGGAGCTACGCTTCATGTACCTGGTGTCTGGCGTGAGGGCCAGGCCTTCACAAGCTGAGCACTTAACATCACTGTTGCTTTTGGAAGTCTTTAGGGAGAGGTCCCCAAAGGGGCTCTGCAGCGCCTCTGGGTAGCAGTGGGAGATGTGGTCCATGTGGTGGCGGTTGGCCACGCTGGGTGTCCGGTACGTGCTGTCACTGTCCAGGTTGTCATCGGAACTCCACCAGCTGCTCATACCAGACTTGTGCTTGCCCTCTGGCTTCCGCTCCTTGCTCTTACTCCTTCTGCTGTGTTTGGAATGGTGACTGTGGTGGTGCTCATCCACCCGGCTGTCACTCTTGGTCCCGTTGACGTTACTCTTGGATGACCCCTCCAAAGAATGCGACTTGGTAAAAAGCTTCTGGACGGAGTGGACCAGATGCCGGATCCTGCCTGGACTCTCATTCCGTTGCTCTGTGGTGGCCGAGGCCCTCTGATACTGCAGCGTGTGGAACCCATCCCTGTGCAGGGGCAGCTGTTTCTCAAACTGGTCCAAAAGGTTGGCGGGGATGCGATTTACCTTGGTACTTGTGTGGGACATGGCACAGTCGTCCCTCGTGTCATAGTGTGAACTGTAGTGCATCCGGGGGAAGGTGCTGCTGGACACGTGGTCGCCCAGCATGACCGGCATCATCATACACTCCGAGTGGACGGAGCTCCTGGGCGAGCAGCGGTGGTGGTCCATCGGGCAGCTCTCAGCCGGGCTGAGGAGATAGGGTTGCCGCACGTCTGGCCCATGGTGCATGTGATCATGGGGGTGCTCGCAGTCATCAGCGGGTGACAGGCCGCACGTATGACCTGCACATAGCTGAGGCTGGTTCCGGCTTCCGGCTAACCCTTTCATGTTCCTGGGTGCAGGCGAATACCTCTCTTCATTGAAGTGCTGCGTTGGAGACCATGAGTATTGCTGGTCTGTCAACAAAAGAGAAATGGGATTTAGTGCCTGGAGAAACCCTAGGAGCGCTGGGGTAGGGTGGAGACGCAGGAGCTGTTTCCCCAGTAGCCGGTTCCCGGAGTGAAGAGTCACATGTTTAGACCGTGGTGACGCCTCAGGATGTGGGGATGCTAAGAAGCAGGAACTTTGGTTTCCCACACAGGAGGGTCCACAGTAACACATATCTAACATCTGGTAGACACACCAGTGGTCTCAACAGGCAGACTATGAGATACGAAAAAACAACGGGTTGAGAAGAAAACAGCCAAGTGCTTGAGAGCATACAGACCTGTGTTCAAACCCTAGCACCCACGTCAAAAGAAAGGCGAGGTGGCATGTGCCTGTAATCCCAGCTTTGGGGAGACAGAGGTGGGTATTTCCAGTGAGAGACACTTCTCAAAAAAATGGTGGAAGGCACTTGAGGAACCCTTTCTGGGGATGTCCTTTGGCAACCGCATACGCGTACATACATATGCACATACCCTCATACACACGTGTACTCGTGCCCACACATGAACGAGCACCCATAAAACACACACACACACACACACACACACACACACACACACACACACACA